GAGTCTAATCACGCATCTTTTATGGTTTTTGTAGATTATATTTATAATATGCTTCTAGGCATGTTTTAAAACTAATTGAGATATAATTATTACTCTCTCTGAATTTTACTAACTAAACATTTTTATAAATTATTCAACTTTTTTTATTATGAATACCTAAATAGATTCTATACAAAGAAATAATTAACATTACTAATTTCAGCAATTTTTGCACACTTTCTACTGCTGCGATGGTATCGTTTTTGATAAATACTTATTTTCTCGCTTTGTTCAATCTGCAGTGGAAATCTAATCCTTTTGAAAATGAATACAGTAAAAACAATAATTACTGAGTAAAAGCACAAAGCGTGAATTAGTTTGTAAATTAAACTTTCTAATGCAATAAAGATTGGCAAAGTAATGTTATCATAACACCTTTTTACAATGTGCGTTTTGCTATAGATGTTAGATTCGTTCGGGTTACTTGAAGTGAATATATTTTGCGATTAAGATCTTTGACTATGTTTACATTAATTAAAATATTATATATTCAAAAAAAAAAATTAGTTAAGTTATTTAGGGGACAAGGTTACAATGTACAACTGCCAAAAGAGAAAAAATTATAGAGGATACAAGGTAGGTTGGTATAACTTTATATATTGACCTTTTTCGGCTCATCCAGGAGCGGATTGGGAAGGGTAATCCGGCTTGGGAAACTGTAAGAACCGCCCCTGCTCAAATTTCTGATTTACAATTATTAAGAATAAGGCTTTCATCGCGAAGTTGACATAGAGTTGGATTTAACTTTTTAAGTATTATCTTTTTGTTGAAATTTTTTAGTTTTTGCTTTTAATTTTAAACTAATCATGACTTGAAAGGTCAAAACTTTTCACGTTGCGCTTTCATAATTAAATAAATGCGATACCGATTTGGTGTTTGATTTTATTCAATACAAACTAAAAGAACCCAATTATGTACTGTATTTAATTTGAAGCTCAACTTTATGTCAAAAAGATAAAATTAACAAATTATAACGTCTCAGAACAAAACAAAATAAATTGCTTACGGAATTAGTTCAATTTTTTATATCAAAAAGCTAAAATTAACGAATTATAACGTCCCAGAACTAAACAAAATACACACTGCTTACGGAATTAGTCAATACACCTAATTTTATCGTCATTTGTAGAAAACTATATCTAAGAAACGCCATAGCCAACATTTAATTTTTGTGAATTATAAGCTTTTCCAGTAAATGATCCTATTTATATTGAAGCGTATTTTAGTTATGGTTTGTTAGTTAAAAATCCAGGGTTGTAGTTAGGGTTGCCACCTGTCCTTTTTTGAACAGAACACTCCTCTTTTGAAGAAAAATGTTATTGTGACTTTTTAAAGCCTAAAATGTCCTTTTTACGGCAAATGTCCTCTTTTTCTACGACATATATCGTTTTTGAGTTTGGAACGTTGCTTTTTGTGTTTCTTCTGTTTGTCAAGATCGTCTTACGAGACGAAGAGAAAGATTTTTTCGTTCAGCCCGACGACCTTTTTTTTAGAATTTCGTTAAGAGACGAGCAGGAAGATTTCTTTCGTTCAGCCTGACGACATTTTTTTTTGAGAAGTTCACTAGAAGAGTAAGGATTTTTTGTATACCAGAGCCCCTGTCAGCGTCATTATCCTTTTTTCACTTTTCAAAGAGGTGGCAACCCTAGTTGTAGTTATCTACTTGTGTAGAGTCGTTCGAGATCTCAAATAAAGTACGAGAAATAGACGCGGACAGTTTCTTACAAATGTATTATTATAATAATATTTTTGTTTATTTCGTTTGGTTTCTTTTGGACATTGGATATTGCGTTCGCTAACTCATTAGTATGATTTATTCGAGAAATGCCTTTGATATATCTTAGAAATATCATTTTTCACAGGTATGGAAAAGTAGTCTATCTGTAAATTTTAGTGCTTGGCTTGAGATCTCAAGTGGCTTCATCCAAACTTCGATTTTCATTGAAGACGAACGTGGTCAAGGTATGTTAATTAAAGGAATCATAAATTAGATATTCTAGAATACCCTTATAGATAAATTCTGATTTTATGTAACCTGTTCCTTATTCAACTTAAACGCAAGTAACTCGTAAACATAACTAGCCTTATGACCAAAGCATGTACGCACAAGCCCGACTGCTATTGGCCAGCCCAGTGATCCTGTTTTGAATGTTTTTCTAAACCATACCCTCTAGCTCAATGTGCTGTGGTCATGAGGATAGTTGTGTTTACTCGTTACTTGCATTTAAGCTAACCTAGGTCTTACCTTTGGCAGTAAGTTAACATTAAACTCACACCTAGAAAACAGAATCAATGAACAATGTCTCCGAATCGCGGAGCACACCTGAGGTTTCTCCCACAGAGTCGACACATGGACTTACACGACCATCATAAAATCTGTGCTAAAATACGGTGTAGTTATCTGGGTATCGAAAACCCAACAATTTACAGCTATCCGCAAACCTCACAGAAGCCATGAAAACCACACCAACCTGAGCCATGGAAAACTACATCAAGAAGGTTGCTCTGATGATAATGACATGACTCTGTTCGGTTGGAATAGGATTTGATGTAGAATCTGGTAAAGCGAGACGTCGCTTTTGACAGGAGATGCTCGATACGCCACCACTGCTTAAAGCAAACATGAACTCCTCACCGAGATATATCTTCCATAAGCCATATAAAGTTATAACGAAACAAATAGAAAAGCCGCAAGTGGTAGGTACAATTTATATCCACACCGACGATTCAGAAACAAAAAAGGTTCAAGATGTGGAATATACTCCAGATCCTTAAACCTAAACATAAAATGGGCTGTGAGCAATAGTGCCAGTGTAGTTTAAACGGAGCTCATGAGGATTCTCATAGCTGCAAAAAACCAGGAACAATATCACTGGAAGGAACATATTCATCTATACAGATAGCAGCCAAGAATTATTCACCCTGGACAAACCACATATTTACTCAGGATTAGTATTAAAATGTAACAAAACTTTAATTGAAGTACCTATCAACAAAGTGGTCACTTTAAGATGGATCAAAGGTCATGCCACATCAAAAGGTAACCGTCTTGCTGATTCACTAGCCAAGAAGGCAGCCAACTACATACGTTTGGGACCTGGCCCTTTCATTAGACTGATAACATCGGTAGTGATAAACCTAATTAAAGAACATTCCCTTGTAAAATTCAAGGAAAGATGGGATGAAACTTAGATGCAAAGTTGGCAGGAAGTTTTTTAAGTTATCCCGAAAACACTACAGCAAAAACGTACTATGCGAAGACAGAATCTCCGCCTGATCACAGAGGCATTCTGACTGGTCATTACTAAGTACGAAAGCATCTCCATATCATGCGGCTGTTAAAATCCGCATTCTGTAGGGGGTGCGAACAAGAACATGAGACCAGCGAGCATATACTCTACAAATGCCTGATGCTCTTATTTATTAGATTTGTGTTCAGCGAGTATTAGCTAACACCAGCCGATATAAGAAAAGCACTTCTTGGCAATGTTGTCAACTACAATAAATCTCTAGGCTGGCTCATGCGCTAGGAGGTGCCTATCAGCTTGGGAGGGTGCACAATAGGCCTACTGAGGCCTAAGTGCCGTTGTGTAGCCCACCCTACACACGTTACAGATGTAGAGGTCCATCACCACCGAACTATCTGCACTATGGACGCCTTTATTATATTTAACAAATATTTTTACTCGTTTTTTTCTAAAATTTGTTGAGATTTGGACACATATTGTATAAGAAACTTTTAATAGTTTTGATGGCAATTACAACAAATTTTGTAATCTTAATCATTTACAAAAACAGGGAAGCCAAATTTCAAATAACGAATTTAATTTTGAACTTTTCTGTTTTGAAAGCATATTACATTTAATTTATTATTTATTTGATTAAAAATTAAATTTGAAGGAATTTTTAAAACGAATTTTATTAAAATTATGGTAAATTATTATTTAATACAAATATTATATAGGGTGGCTAGTCAAAAAGTACCATAGCTATTATCAGAAAAAATGCTTCAAGATTTTAGACAAATATTCAGATACGTCAATTTTTTATTAGAGGACACATCATATTCTTAACTGCCATATGTCATTCCTCTCCATAACGTCACTCTTACCACTACAATTTATAGTATAATAGTGAAAGTACGAAGTACAACACATCATTGAAAATATAATTTTATGGAGAACTCAGTAATATGACTATTCATTGCATTACTGTCGATTTCAATTCATTTGAAAGCTAATTTTATTAATAAATTTATTTATTAATAAAAGTATCACACTTTATAATATGTAACACTTTTTATCCCTCTAGAGGGCGCTTAAATCAAAAGTAGCGCTCCATAACATTAACTTTTCAAAGATATATCATACTTGATGCTTTCACTTTTTAAATTCTATTGGTTGGAATAACGAAGGAGATGGACATAACGTACGACATACTTTAATTCAAAATTAACGAGTGCGTTTGTCTAAAATATTAACGAAGTTCCTTATAATGGCTCTTGTATATTTCCGTCCAGCCACACTCTGTACATAAGTCTTGAATGAAATTTCTGTCTAAACTATCTACATTATAAAAAAGCATTCCTTGCAAGAAAACCCTCATTTTATTTTACTTACGACATTTCCTTTGTACTTACATTTTTCTCATCTCATTTTTGACTAAACTAAACTATCGCCTTCGAGGACCTGAAAAAGATCTCAATTTTCAATATTGCGAATATGTTTTGATCGTTTAGTATATGTAGCACAGACGATGAAGATATTAGCGATGGAGATTCAATTTCCTTCTAGAAAGCATATAAGTTCTGAAATGATGCGATAATATTATTTATTTAAAGCTATATAGTGGAGACGATATGCGATGTAATAATGGGCTTGATGATTTGATGCATTTCTTTTAAATTTGTAAACCAACAACTACCAAGTTTTTACACCATTCACTAAATATCAGTATGTCAGCTAATTTCCATGTTTTCCTGTTAGGGCTTGTCTTCGTTGATAAATACTTAAAGCATCATTTAAAATGATTTCATCTTTATTGCATGCATCTTCTTCTTTGGAAAAGTATCGTTGCGTAGCTTTGTAACTCATGTCCATATCTGCTACATCTCTTATTTTTTGATGAGATTGGATTAGCATTAATATGATTAGATTTTGAACCAGTATTTCTGGATTTGTGAGGTTATTATGTATGTAAAAACAGAAACTAATGCCAAAAATTATTTCTGAAGTTGATTCCATGAAGTAAAACGTAGATACCTTCTTCTGAATCTTCATAGGAAACTACTAGTTTGGAGAATTTTCAATTTATTAGTAGGTATCTGCTGTGGTTTAATTTCACTGGCTGTGTTTTCGTACCTGTCGTGTTTCATTGAAATCTTATACAATTTTGATTACAGTTTGATGTTTGTTGCATTTAATGTAAATATTCTTTAATATCACCAGTAGATATAGATATGGAATACGATCACTGCGGTTTATGTTCTTAAATAATATGTTTGTAATGAGAAAGAATGCACTGATTTCATGAAAAATATATTGAAACTGAATATTAAGTGTTATTTTATGTAATAGTTTAGGAATTTGATATGCTACACTACACTAGGAACGAATAAGCTTGTGGCATGTGTTAAAATGTATTATTAATTTAACTGAATTTGACCTAGTTTGTCGTACTTTTATGAATATCGATTTCATAAAATTGTTTATTTTTTACAATGTGCGAAAATAATATATTCTATTATGCTAAATTACTCCTCAAAAGAATTCAACCAATTATAGAAAGAAAAATATAATCCCAAATCACCAGTTTGGCTTTAAAAGTAAAAAGTCTACCAGAGAATATTACAATATAAAATAAATTAGCTATATTTTATAAAGGATCTGTTCAAAAATTAAATTATGTAATTGTTATTATATTATTCTCAAACAATATAAAGACATCATAAAATCATGCCTAACAGATAGATACTTTATAATCAAACAAAAAGGTACCTATTCTCATCTTAAAGAAATAAAAGCTGCAGTTCTACAAGCTGTTTTGGGTCCAATTTTGTAATACAAATGTCAGAGTTATATAGCTACTTTTGTTAACGACAACTGATCTCAAAATTTGACTAAGAAATGGAAGATCAGACTCAGTGAGAGGAAACCAATAATATTCAATTGTTTTTTTTTGTATATTAAAAACAAGAGGTTTGAGGTCGCTTACGCAAGCAATAAAAAAGAAAGTGCCGAGAATGAAGCCCTGTAGGACACCATTTGAGACTATTCTTTCAGACTGGACTAGTTTTGTTCAGATGACAGAGCACTCTTCATGCAAGCAAGTCTCTAAGTCACAAAATCAATATTTCTATGGTATTGTCACTTAATAAAACAAAATTCAGTCAACCCAATTGGTCCAGAAAGAGCTATATGACATAGGAATTATTTTTTCATACAACAAATATAAATGGCAAACTTCTGTAATTCGACTAGTCAAACAAAAAATATCCAAATCAGTAAAACCAGCTCAACTGCCTCGACTGGGCGACTGTAGAATAAATAAATAAATTCTGATAGATCCGTTTTTTACCTTGTCTGGTTGAATATCTTCCTGTTTATGGTCTGCTAAGAAAAACCGTCATTACATAATAGGAATTTAGGTTTAGCGGCTAACCCCGTTTGCTCAAATACCGTACCGTATCTTCAAGGTAAATTCAACTACCGAAGCGGAAATTTCTATTCAATTTCGATAAAAACGTTGTGGGCGGTTTACTTCTAACCAATAATATTTATGTGTTTTTACCTGCTAATTAAATCCGACATGCCCTGTGAAATGAATCACATCACGCATAGTGTCGTTTTTGGCATCCACATTTGGTTCCGTCTCAATAATTGGCATTTAGGCATTTATTATCTGTTCTAGACGATATTTATGATTTACAAAATATATAGCGCGTTACGTTTAACTCATAGAATGTTATATTTTAGATACAATTTTTCTAATTTAGTACATTCCTGCTGCAGATAAGTGTAATTTTGAATAAAGCCAGTATAGGCATTATACAACAGTTTCACCAGATCAAGACAAGGTAAAAAATTGACGATAATACCCAACATAATTAATTAAAACGTCAATATATGATAAAACCTAAATCCAACTTTAAATAACCTGACTGCTTCGATTCTGCTTTATAAGATGTTTTTTTTGAGATTCAAATTCAACACTCTCAATAAATACATTGGAAGCTTTTGAAATGTAGGTTTTTATAAGACTTAAATATACCATGAGCAAATCAATAATACTGTTTACAGAACAAAGTCATGACCTAATTGTTTTAGAGATCGGACAGGTTTAAATGCTCACACTTTATTCAAAGCAGCCTTAGATCGAGATCAATTTGGAAGAATACTGTTATGTACAGTGGTTAGTCTCGACAGTTGGATTGCGAGACATGGCCAAGATCATAACCTAAGATTAGGAGACAGTGTCAGTTGTACAACTGTCCAAAAAATTGTACAATAAGTTATATGGAAGTTCTATTTTATGCAATTCTGAAAAAATATGGAAATGTACAATATAAAGGTCTACTACTCGTTAGCATATGCATTAAACTTAAAGTTAAAATATGACGCAAATTACGACCAATCCGTTCATTGCTTGAATTGAAACCATTTTGAATGTTTTGAAAATTTTTGAAAAAAATACGAGGAATTTGGTGCATTAGGAAGTTGTCCATAGAAGCAAAGGGACAGAACATTTGCTAGCAGTGAAAAAGAAGAAGAATTATAAGTGGCTGTACAAGTGAATATAAAAGTTAAACAAATATACAAACAAACTTTTATAGAGATTAATTCTGATCATGAGCCTCTTGAAGCTTTAGTGTGTAGGGACATATTCAGTGGCCAAAATAATAAAAGATTAAAGTGAAACTATTAAATTATTATATAACTGTAAAATCTAAACCAGGCAAACAAATGCATATTACCGATTTTATATCTACACATCATTTTCTTAAGGACAATATAAGAGGACAAATTTATTACTGAAACTATGCACACTGTCAATATGACTGATCATAGAAAATATAAATATAAAAAAGAAATAGAAGGATGCAGAAATGCAAAAAGTTACATATTTCTGTACTAATACTGGGCCTTCAGATGCTTCAAATGTAACCAAGAACAATTTTTTCAAAGTTAAGCTCCAGTTGTACAATCTTTAGATAATAGTTTGTAACAACTGAGACTACTTCAAGAACATCTATGAATAAAGACATTGAATAAAAGATTCAAACATGCAAAAAATGTGAAAAATACCAACAAAAAATTCCTGAAGAAGCCTGTATATTAAGTTTCCTCAACTTCTATTTAAAAAATTGAGCAGTGATATTTTGGATCTGGAAGATCGTATTTAGCCCTTAGTGACTATTCATCAATTTCTTGCAGATCATTGAACTAAAGTGAAAATATAATTGGCAGTTATAGAGGCTATGAAAAAGATATTTGCGATACACGGTATCCCCAAGGAAGTTGTTGCTGATAACAGGCTATACATTTCCTGAAAATGTCAAGAGTTTGTAAGACAATGGAATTTTTGTTGCAGTACATCCAGACCTAGATACCCCAGGCCTAGTTGACAAAAAAGCTAACGAAAAGGCTGACGAACTTGCAAAGAGAAGGACCTAAGAAATTGGAAACAATATAAACCTTGGAGTACCAGGTTTCATCAAAGACTAGGTTTGAAGAAAACACAACGACTATTGAAAGAAGGTACCAAAACAAGCACATGGGGAACCTTTACAGGAACATCGTGTTCAAACAGAACAGGAGATCTACTCTCTGTGAATAGGAAACAGTTGAAAACAATAACTGGGCTCATTACTCGGCCTGCTCCAATAAAGAGACACCTGAACAGAATAGGCGTTTATTATAAGACCTATTCTGTCGACTCTGTCACAAGGAAACGGAAACAACCATACATATGCTAAGCAACTGCGAAATATTGGATTTCAAATAAACAGTCATTTTTGGACAACCACAAGTTGATCGAAGCACCAATAAAATTCAAGAACTTGTACAAGGGACTAAAGTGACATAATGGGTACTATGAATTATTATAGGTCAAATACAATAAGCCATTAGGCGACTAAGTTAAATGAGCCCAGGAAAAAATATATCTGTGATCAAATAGTCAAGAGGGACCGCAGTACAAATTATTAAGAATATTTTATGCCTATGCGATGGTTTGCAACTGTCAGTACTCGAGTACCAAAATATTACAGTATCGGGTGATAAAACTTCTGCTTAGTTATTATCTAGTCGTCGTCTGAGTACTAAGCTGCCAGTTATTACAGAATTGATGTTACAAAGGTGGTAGATTATAAAACAACAATTTTTAACTGAAGGTAATCTTTACAAATTTAATTTTGATAGAAACACTGTATCAAATAAAAATCATCAAGGATGCTAAAATGTTGTTGTAAGGAAATTTAAATAGTGGAAACCAGTAAGGATTATACAAAAGTTAGATCTTGATCTTACATGGATATGAAGGAAAACGGTAGAGTTTAAGATCCTCTAGGAACAACGATAAGTTTAGAAGTAGCTTGTCTCCGGATGATGCAGAAATTAATATTTCGAAAAATTCTTTTAAATATCCTAAACCACATGTTTTGAAAAGCAATCAGAAATCAAAGTGTATACCAAAGAGTATAATATTGTTTTGCCCTTCCATAGAAGCAACAGACTCATCAAAAGATATGGACATTTAGATAATTATGGATGTTAAACGAAGAGGGGAGATATGTATAGTGGTTGGAGTCTCGGCAGCTGGACTACGAGACACGACCAACATCATAACCTAACATTAAGTTACATATATTGTGTTTATATCTTAATTGTAATTTGTAATACATTGTTATTAGTATAAAAATTATACATAATAAACCTTTAAACAAACAAAGTATTATTACAAATACCTCACTCGATTAAGTCGAAAGTAACATCAGACCAAGGTATTTTTAGACTTGGCCCTTCTATTGGCCTGATAAAATCGGCAGTGACACACCTAATTAAAGAACACTTCAAGGAAAGATGGGATGAAAAAGAAACTGCAGAGTTGCCAGGGAGTTTTTAAGTTATCCTTACCCTTATATCCTGGTCATTGCTAAGTACGGAAGCATCTCCATATCATGAGGCTGTCAGAATCCGCACTGTACAGGGAATGTGAACAAGAAGATGAAACCATCGAGTATATTATCTACGATTGCTCGACGCTCTTATTTATTAGAAGATTTGTGTTTGGCGAGTATCGACTAACACCGGCCGATATAAGAGAAGTACCTCTTGGCAATGAGCTAGGAGGTAGGAGGATAAACAATAGGCCTTGGGGTAACCCACCTTCTCCACACGTTACAGATACAGATCAAACCTAGGCAGTAGACCACGAAGGACATTGATCAGGACAATGATATCCTTCCCTTTATAATGTCTCTGAAGTATTATCGTTAAAACAGAGAATCATTTTGATTTGTTTTGTTCTTTTAATTACTTCTAAACCCTCTGAATTTGTAACATATTTCTGATTCATTTACAATTGGAATCTTTCAAAATAATTTTATCTCATATTTATCTTAAATAAGCATTATTTTTTGTAAATTTTTGGGGGATAATAAACCAAAGAAAAATTGAAAAAATGTTCTGCTTCAGGCGGGTCTCGAATCCACGATTCTGTATTGCCGTTACAATGTCCTGACTGCTAGACAACCTGAACAGTATATATAGCGTCCTAGCTGTCAATTCGAGCCAGATTCGGGTTATCAGAACTTTTTTCAATTTTATAATCATTTTATGACAATTTAATTTTTTTTGTTTGTTATCCCCCTGATTTCTATAGTATTTGTTTCGGCAATTTAAACCGAGAAAATTTTAATCTTTCGTACAACTTTTTCTTATCCTTATGACTGAAGTCAAATTAAGGTTAAACCAATCACTTTAACATACAACTCGTTTATCAGTTTAGAGGAAAATTAATGAAGACTTAGGTACAAGTCACTGGATACATCTATTAAAGGCGTACTAAATAATTTAATATGTGAAACCCTACAAGTTACGTCGGTTGGGTCGAACCACTCAACCATAAATAGGGCTTATTAAAGCCTCACTGAAATTTTGGTCAAAGTCGTCCCTCCTGTCATCGTTTGTTTCCTTTCCGCGGTTAATCAGGCCTGCCAACTTGAAACTTTGAGTTACGGGCGGCGCGTCCGTCTTTGCTTATCTCAAGTGTCGTTCGACCGCCCCCGAACAATGCCGCCCCAACGGATTTACATCTTACATGGCGAAGTCTTTTGCGGAACCGCGGTAACCGCGCCAGGATACATTTGCGTCTTGCATTGTCTGTTTTTTAGCTGATAATTGGCACGGTCGAGCGGATTAATTGGGTTTCCAGTTGGACAATGGAAGAAGACGAATCGGCACGCTTGTTTGTTGGAAATGAATGGGGGCTGGGGAGCGCAATACATCTCCTTGAGGCTCAATAATAAATACATCAATGCGTAACGTAGCTATGTCAAGAAGTTTGCGGTGAGAATATGAATAGTTAAGAAAAGAAAGGGGCAGAATAAAAACTGTAAATATGGAAGTATAATGGAGAAACGAAAACCGAGGAATACTATGATAATAACTTTATAATAGGTTGTCTGGGCTACAAAGATGGTTTCAATAATAATTAAAAGACCGATTTATACTGCTAATTTGTTTTTAGGCCAAGAAGGTATGAAACAATCAGTATTGTTTACCTGAAAATGTGTTAAACAAGTTTAATGGTTTTCGCTATCAATGTGTATGAATATCCAAGATATTTGTAAGTAATGATGACGATATCAACTACGAAGCTGTTAATGTTTATTGTTAAATCCTGATCTTTGATGAAGGTATTATTTATTTGTTGATAACCTTTCATCAAACAAATTAAAGCTGCAAAATGTTCTATGCTAAAGAAATGGTTTATATGCCATGAAAATGCTATTAATCATACAGTACGTCCAGTAGAGAGCTTACTCGATCCAAATTTCTGGAAGTAACGTTTTAAATTCTCATTTTACTTTCACTTTCAATTTAAAATAGTAAAATTGCATAATTTAATAGTTATGGATCGATTAAACCTTTCAACCTGAATATTCCGTATTCAAAAGCAAATGGCAGTCAAAATGATCCGATTATTGCTAGTATTTACTTTGTGGTGGTACGAATCCATAGCCCGAAGCTCCTACTACCACACCGCTGGTTTCGCCACTGTCTGGTGGTGCTGGTGGAAACACCACTGGTCCAGTATTCTGTCTAGGATCCCTTGTAGCCTGTAGTGATGCACCTAGTCCACCTCCGAAACTTCGGAAAGGATCGAACGCTGCAAAGCCATATTGCGCCCTCGCCAAGGTAACAAGGTAGGCCAAAAATGCTAATACTACGGCCTGAAAATAAAAAGAAATCTAATTCAGTTCAAAAGTTAATGTTATACAAGGATTATCTCATAGAAAAATTGTAATACTGAGAAAAGTATGAGGTATTTGTATATTTTGTAGAATATATAGGACCAGATAGTTTAAGGCATCCACTGGAAGACTTAGTACCACTGCTGCTCCTCCCATTGCTGCCCACGACCCCAAAAACTTGTATTTCTACCCGACAGATTGAAAGAGGTATTATTAAGTGGGAGTGTTGCCTGCGTCAAAGATCTTTGTTATCAATTCTTCCCTAGCATATTTTCTGCAGATGTTCATGAGTTTACTGCATTTTGATTGGTAGTAATACTTCCACTACAGCCTTTTCTGGATTTCAAATTGGTACACCGCTTAAGTAGTATTTGTAGCTTTCGTAAACAATTTTTTTCGCTCCCCACGCACTTTCAACAAATTTAACCGAAGCCATAATAAATAACTAAATAAATTTTATCAGAAACTAATTCAGTAACATAATATCTAATATATTCTTAAGAATTTTAAGAATAAGTGATTAAGTTATGTCTGTATGAGGGTAATAAGAATTGGATTAGTTGCTGACAATACCCACTGGACATATAAATTCATAAAAATCTAAATATCTCACTGTCAATTAGATAATTATTTCCCTATTTCTTAAGGATGTTTATTTTCGAACAAGGGTAATAGGTTAACCATTAATATTTGTGGTCTATAATCAAGTAATCAGCGTTAACATAATTAAAGATAACTGATAAAATAATTGCTTTATTAAATGCTTGTTCACATTAATGTTAATTAAATTAAATTAGAAAATTATTACTTTAGTGCAGAGTAAAGGTCCTGGGGAAGGTTTGTCTAATAGTAATTTTAATTGACAGATTAATTATTAATATCGTATGTTTATTAACAAGACAAGTTATATACTGATGATGTAGTATTCATAAAGTAGAATAAGGAAAGAGATTAAAAAGGTGTTTAAAACGGCAGCAAATATATGGAAATGGGCATACCTAGATACGCTTCTTATGTTGTTTGAGACGGTTTCAATGAGAACTCTGAAGCAAAGTAATGCATTCTTTAAACAAGTTAATAGGGAAAAATATTATGCAATATGGCGACTATTCTGATAGAAAATTTTTAATGCGCGATTTTTATTATTTTCAGTCACTCTCGTATTTCTGTTATAACGTTTAATAATCAAGTGTCTCCATCAAGACTGCATAATTATTTACACAGTAGATGAAGATAATGAGGAAAGTAATAATATGGTGAAAATTATTTGTTTTTTCACACAAGACGCCAGGACATCACGTGCAAGTTTCTATCCATGCAAAGTGTTACTCAACAGATGTGACAAAGTTTCATGAACTTATTTGTAAATAGTATATTATTTCGTTTGCATTTTGCATGAATGGAAATATAATGAACGTTGCATTCTTGCATTGTGATTCTTAGTAGGTAATCACCTTATTATGGTGTCGGTATTAAGATTACCGATTAGATAATTTCGTAACCATTAACGATTTATTTATTTATTTACTCATTTGTTGTTACGTTTTGCAAAAGAAAATGCTTAAGGAAAATCGTTATTCCATGTATATACGCAATAAGATAAAATCAAATTGGTAATTTTGAGGTTGCTTTCTAATTTCTTTTACGCCTTTAAACTTTTTAGAGGTTATTACCTTTAGAACACCAAATGATTACTTAATTTTCGATCATAAACAATCATTATACAAATTAGAGCTGTGAAACCAAAACAAGATTTTACATCTGCAGTATCAGTTATTATATGCTATTAAAATAAAAAAATAAAAAAACATTCAATTTGATTCTATAGAAAGTTAAAAATATGGACTTTAATAAAAATTTTCTAGGTGTTGAAATGATTTACTTTATTTAACTAGTTACATAAAAATAAGCATTATGTAACTAGTTAAAAAAATTAAATTATGTCACCAATTGCGAAAAGAAAACATCTATAAATAAACTTTGCTTTTAAAATCAATGTGTTGAAGAAAAATTAGTTAATAAAGGGAAACAAATGTTTAATGGAGAAAAAGAAGTAAATATGAATAAAAGTAGTGAAAGAGAAAGAAAAATTGAAGAATTAAAGGAAAAAATTAGAAATAAAATTAAAGAAAAAAAGAAAACAATCTTAAGAGAAAAATAGAAAACAGGATAAAGGAGAGAAAAACCAAATAGGATCAAGAAGAAGAAAGTTATAAAATATAAAAGTAACATTAAAAAAAAAGTTCAGACAGACACAGGAAGAAAGAAGAAATAGGATAGTATGTAGGAATAAAAATGAGATTACAATAAAACAGAAACGGATAGCAGGAAGCAGAGCTGAGTAGAAAGAAGAGTCAGAGGAGGACGTAGAGGAGAACAGTGAAAGCAGAGCAGGGAAAGGCACAGGACAGAAAAGGAGGCAAGGCAGGAGTTATAACAGGAGGCAAGTTAGCAGTAGATAGAGAAAATCAGAACCGGGTTAACAGAGACTAAGATGAGAAAAAAAAATATATTAATTAATTTAAGTGATTTAATAGAAAATAGGTAAAGATGTGTCATACATTTACCAGACTGATGAGAGAAGCATAAAAAGTTAAACTCCAAATTAACATAAAGGAAGGGTCACAATGTTCAATTGATTAAATCAAAATGGCATCAACTTGTAGTTTTAGAAAATTCTGTATCTATACCAAAGTCACCAAAGTATGGAAGTAACACAGGGCTCTATTTTGAGGTTGTTATATTTTTATTGATAATTTCTTTTGTAATTATTATATTGTACAAAGTCATAATTTGATTAATTTTCATACAAGGAATAGTACAGAAACAAGTCTTAGTAAAAATTCAGGATCGTTTACAATTTATGTTTAACTCAATATTATTAAGTCATTTCATTTGTCAGACTTGTATAAACAAAGAGTTATAAAAAGCACATTAATTCACTCTTTATACATAAATGCAGTGTTACTCGTTAAAGATATTTCTTGCACACCATAAAAATAATAAATAAATAACACTTGTTGCAACAAAGTAATAAAATTTTAAATTAAATTCCCATTCTAATTAAAATACCATTAATGTTGTAATTTATCATTAACTTGACACCCCGTACCTACATCATAAAAATTTATATGGTTCTTCTATTACAAAAGTGTAATAAAATCTTAAATTAAATTCAACTTCTAATAATTACCAACACCATTAATTATAATACTAACAATGTTTTTAAACGCCATTGTTGTTGCAATATCTTCAGTGCTAATTCTATCTTACACCTTACTGCAAATTTATTATCCTTAATCATCGTCACGTACGTGCCTAGAACGATCGGTGTAAAAATCTAAAGCTCCAATTACTTGCTCTTTGACCTAATCCTGACCTTCGAGTTCGTTTTACTTTCTACGCCAATTCATCGAGAAGGAATGGCTTACTCCTGAGAAATTTTAGGTATTTAAATCAATAACAGAGTCATTAAAATAAGAAATGCTTGATCTGAGATAATAGTAATTTGCAAATCAAAGCTGTACGAAGATTGATTGTAGGTAATATTATGTAGGCAAACTATTACACCTACTATTAAATAAATCATAATGGAAATTTATTAGGTCAGAAATATTTTTTATAATGATCAAAAGTGTCATTATAAGCAATGCCGGGGTGATAAAGAAGGTTTAAAAATTATTATGATGTTGTTTGTGCAGTTGATTGGGATAATTGAGAGAAGAATTGTTAACCCTAAATAGCTTATGACGGGTTATTTTGACCCATCCACAATCCCAATTGGTGAAAATTTCAGCTCTCGTGATATGTAGGGTGTTATGTGTCTAGGAATTATCAAATTAGTACCGTACCATATTGCGCACCTAGTGTTTTGCGATTTGTTTTAGCCGTACACGTAGATAATTGGGTCAGCTTGATCCATCGGTAGCTGTATTACAGGTATTACAGGTATTTTTGAATATTGTTGTAAAATATTTTCATTTTTAGAAACATGAGCAAACTCTTAACAGATGCAGAACTGATGCAAATTGTGGAAAATGATGATTTTTGGAAGAAACTGTCTCAAACCGAAGAACATAAATCTGGTGTTGATGCAGAGATTGTAGAAGTCAATGATAAGCTTAATGACGTAGAAAATATTTTGAATGCGGCAGACGAAAGTGAACATGACGAATGTGATCAGGAAGAAATCAGTGAAGATAACTCAGAAAGCCAGTTTAAAATTGAAGCAAATATATAAGATAAACAAGCCTACTATGGAAAAGACAACCAAATGATCGAAAATTTCTCCAATAAGAGTAAAAAGAAGGAATTTAAATATTTGTACAGTTCTACCTGGTCTAAAGGGTTTAGCAAAATAAAATCCGACATCTAAACCCATCGATGCCTGAAGATTTATGTAGGTATTCTAAAAAAATACAAAGTTCCTTATGGCAAATTTAATCGACGTAAAAACAGCCGATCCAATTTTTCTTCATCTTTTAACCCAGAAAACGAAAAAAATTGAATTGGAACCGTTTGTAGGCTTACTTTATTTGTTGGGAATTTTCAAGTCAAGACATGAAGATTTGATGAAACAAGAAAAAAAAGTTCAAAAAGATAGATGGCCGCGATTTCAAATTTATTCTAAAGAATGTTACACTCCAGGACTATTTTTGACAGTGGACGAGATGCTGGTCCCATTTAGAGGTCGATGCGGGTTTAGTATGTATTGTCATGATTCCTTCATTAGACTGTCGGTGCTATAGTTTCGTTCTGTATCGTTGACGTCGGTTAGTTAATTGGAACGGCCTTAGGGTAGCTAATACTACTCGTAGATGCGGTGCGCATGCGGATCTATTACTAACTTACTCGCAGAGTGTATCACAAAATATTGATCTCGATCACAAATCTGGATCAGTAATCTAGTAATTTCCGAACACGGATAGGGTAAGTAACCATAGGTAAACGAACAATAGGATCTATAATTTTTATGATCCGAGTAAGTTTCCGAAAACACCTATTGTAGATCCTCCTAAATTGATAAGCCTGCAAATTTTATGTAGTTGACAATGTCGTGAAAAGGTGCTTCGCTTAGAGGGAAAGCCCACTCACGCGACATGTCGCGCGCGGCAATACTTTTAATGTTTTTAAATGACCACGCGACAGAACCGCGTTAATGGGCTTTGAATCATTTAAAAACATCAAAAGTATTGCGATCAGTCGCGCGCGACATGTCACGTGAGTGGGCTTTCCCTCTTATATTGGTTGGTATTAGCCAAAGTCGAAGGACACAAATCTTGTAATGAATGAAAACGTCGGGCATTCGTAGAAGATATGCTCGATGGTCCTCTCTTTTTGTTCCCACCTTTTGCAGAGTGCGGATTTTGACAGCTCTACCACATGCTATAGAAATTATTCCTTACTTGACAACTACAAGTCAGAATGTCAGTCATAGTTAAGTATTTATTAGCTGGAGTGTTGTCACGGTAACTTAAAGCTCCCTTGCATCTCTACAGCTTCTTGTTTTATTTCACCTTTCTTTGAATTTCGCAAGGGAATGTTCTTTAATTAGATTTGTTACTGCATATGTTGTTCACAGCTAGGTATAAAAAGTATTTGGTTGGCTGCCTTTTTGGTTAGTGAATCAGCAACACGTTACCTTTCAATGTGGCGTGACCTTTGAATCATTTTAAGGTTTGTGATATTTTAATGGTCTATCTAGGGTAAATAGTGCTTCTCTGTTATCTGTATAGATGTATGTTCCTTCCAATGGTATTATTTCTGGTAATTTCTCTTCTTGCTATGAAAATCTCCCTTAGCTCGGTTTGAACTACACTGGCAATATTGCCCACATCCTATTTATTGGCTCTATTCCAACCATACGGAGTTTTACTGTCATGAGAACAACTTTCTTATATCAAGTGAAGTGAAACTAAAAATGACTTATATGGTCCTGGTTGGTGTGGTTCTTTAAATTTTTTTCTAGTGTCAATTGTTACCCAAATAACTGCATCATATGTTAGCATAGGTCTTATGATATTCTATGTGACGATTCTGGGAGAAAGACTCCAGGTGCACGCCACGGTGGGCGGCAGTATTCATAAGCAATGTACTCTTTTTTGACTCTGTTTTCTAGGTATAAGTGCCATGTTAACTTCTGTCAAAGATGAGACCTAGATACTTCACAAAGTTTAGTTTTGTGTTTTTGAGCTCTGGAAGTTCTGGTTCCATTATCATAATTTTTTTTTTTTTTTTTTTGAAAATGGGCCATTTCTGTTTTCTTGGTAGACAGTGAATGGTCCTTGCACTAATACTCTATAATTTTGAAATCTACTTGCATTCTTGCAAACAAGACTCTAGGTCCATGTTGCTTTATGATTGTTAAATTTAAATAATACGTATATATTGATCAAAAAACCAAAAAGCCAAGATTTCAATGTTTTCTACAATCTTAGATATCTGATAGCGTTTACGCCAGTTGACTTAATGGGTAACTTTTTCCCATTTTAACTAAATCTGTGTATCTTCGTACTTTACGAACAGCTCCCGTATTATCCGACGTCCAACAAATGCAAATGATAAAATACATATATAAATGCATCTTTTTTCTTTAACTTTCTTTTATTCAACGTTCAAGTAAAAAAGAAATCGACGATTAAAGAAGATTTAACTTTCCTCTAACTATCTAACCTTGGCGGCTAACTAACCTATTGCTTAGTTTTTAAATAAAAAATATGCAGAAAATTTAAAAATTCCAACCGCGTTTTGCAACATTCTGACCCGAATTTGGGCAAAAACTGAAACATGCTGTACAGTCTTACAAAATATCTCATATGTTAAAGATCCAATAACAGTTTTTATCGTAAAGCAAATATCCTTAATTGAAAGTCTATACTATTGATGTCTTAATACACGTGTGTTAACGATATAAAAAATGTGTAAAAGTAAGATATTAACAATGTTACACCAATACCAAAACAAACTATTAATAACTTTTCGTTGCGCAGCGTTTGATATGGTCTGTTTATTTAAACATACAAGGCGAATGTAAAAAACACTTCCGCAAAAACTAAAATTAACATAATAGAATTAGAAATTAGAATAATATAAGAAAAAAATGTCAACGGGAGTTAAATAACAGGTTTTCTTAATGACATTGCTACAAAATTATTTTACCCAGCTAATTGTAGTGAAGAAGAAAAAGTTCTGGGACTCATTCAGCATTTAATTAATAACACCGGTCGACACGATTTTTGGGTCTGACTTCTGCATATGAAATTTTGGTTTCTCATATGTTACAAATAAAGGAAAACATAATTTTTCTTATCAAAGTTTGCTTATGTAGAAACTAGAGCAATTTTTCGAATTTTCAAGAAAAATGACTGATTTTTATAATTTTACTTTTAATTACGATTAACAAAGTTTTTGCCGAACATCAAAGTCTTTTTAATTTAAGAATTGTGATAAACAATAGCATATAAATGTAAAATAACAAAAAATCAAGTTTAGAAATGACTATTTTTAAAAGTTCTCTTATTTTTGTATGGACTTTCTCGTATTAAACCCCAAATGTAATCTTCCGTCATATTCTCGTTGTACTGCTCTTAGTAACGTTGTTCAAAGTCCATCACATCTTGGTAAAACCGTTCTTTTTGCTTCTCTGAGTAGGCATCCATATTGTTTTTAAATTGATCCAGGAGAGAATGTAGCATATGAAGTTAATGAAACATTCTGCAGCCCATAATTTTAAAAATTTCAAGCATAATTTCAATCGACTCTTTAAAATTGTCAGCTCTGTTGTTACCAAGAAAACCATTAACTACTGCTTTAAGACTCGTCCAGGCTTGTTTTTCATGAGCATTGAGGAATTCTGTGAAATCATCACTGCTCATTATTTATTTTAGTCCGACGTTTACACTTTCTTGATGCCATTTTCTAACTTAGTAACACACAAGGGCGGTTGTTACAGCTATGATAGACAAATAAATACTCACTACTCTCACTACTCTCACTACTCTCACTACTCTCACTACTCTCACTACTCTCACTACTCTCACTACTCTCACTACTCTCACTACTCTCACTACTCTCACTACTCTCACTACTCTCACTACTGTGCCATTCACAAAGATTGATCAGAGTGCTACCATATGTTGCTCATAAAATAAATTAAAATCTTTAAAACTTACTTATCGACGCAAATCAGACAATAGCAAACTT